AAAAGAGCCAATCCGCAAAAAGGGAGGGGGGGTTGGGGGGAGAGATGAGGGTCGGTACGAGAGAATTTGAAAGGACCAAAGAATCAGAATTCAAGAAAATGCTTTGACGAAATCAATGGGGTCTCGAAGACTCGAAAATTGCAAAGAAGACAGGTTTGATGATCGGAGTCCGAAATTAAACAACGACATTGCATCGCCTCCCTGATTGGAGCTAGCGAGCTGCGAGCGAGGAGGGCCACCGTCAAATATAGAATAGGAAAATTCGAGAAACGCACCTACCGCAAGTCGAAACTCCAATTTTCTCAGCAATCCCCGCTTCCCCAAGGTTCCAAAAGCACAGGAAAAAAAAAAAAAAAAAAAAAAAAAACGAAAAATCGATTCTGATTCAGAACCGAAGTACAGTGGGAATTTGAAGTCGACACTGCTGAGCGAGCGCAGCACTCGCGGCAGGCACCACGTTCTCTAAACACTCCAACCCCAATAGCAATACCTCTCGCTCTCGACAGCAACACAAACGTGTCGGGGAGTTTTACTCACAACCCAACTCAACACAACACTACCGTCAGTACTCTGGTAAAGTACTCGTTCTAACGAACCTCTCTCTCTCTCCAGCGGGAACGGCGGGTTTTCTCACAAAACAACACTACTGTTAGTACTCTGGTAGATCTCTCTCTCTCTCTCTCTCTCCTAGTTCCCCTAGCCGGTGACAGTTGGTGTATAGTGAATGATACTCTCTTTCTCTCTCTCTCTCTCTCTAGCGGGAACTAGGGTCAGATTCCCCAGCCGAGGACAGTTGGTGTACAGTGAATGATATGCCCCAAAGTCGATTCCTCGTCAACTCTTGGGGGTTACAACCCAACAGTGCACTACGCTGACTGGCTGCAAATTTCTACCGACACTCTGACGGGAAGGGGGGGGGGGGGAGAGGTGTCCACCGTCCAGAGCATTCTCGCTGTTAAGCAGTGCTAACACCTCGACAAAGTAACGCCGAGCAATCATTTTCGTGACGACAAGTTTTAGAACGAATCCGCGACGGACTGGAACGAAGCCGATGGCCTGTGCTAATAACCCTCTTCTGTCTATCGTTCCAAATTCAACGGATGTCCCGAGGGACCTTTCAAAATATCTACCGCACGCATGCTCAACACTTCAATTCTTCTCTTCTACTCGGCATCTACAAATTCTCTGAATTGTCTACAATCCACCCTGTAGACAATAGAGCCTTGCTCTAAAGAGGGGAGGAGTGGGGGGAGGGCAGGGGTCAAAGCTCGATTCGAGAGCGGAACATTATTGTGGGAGTCGCATCAGCAGCATAAATAGCAGCTGCGCAGTCTAATTCACGTCAGTTTTGCAAGTTTTTGTTAGCTTATACGTACGTATGTTCCTCGCCCAATCGATGCTTGGAGACCCTCAACGTGTTTGTTAATACAAGAGAGAGAGAGAGAGAGAGAGAGAGAGAGAGAGAGAGAGAGAGGGCAGGCTCAGAGCGGCGGCTACTTTCACAGGTTCAGAGACCATCCATGGAAAGAAATTTTCCGACAGCAACTGTGTTACAGCCTTCGCTGGAAACTGAAATTGCCTGCAAGCAAAAAAACAAAAAAAAAAAAAGAAATTGCCTGCAAGCAGGAGCACAACACAGCTCCACTTGCTCGGACGATCACTCACGCAGTGGAGACCCTCCGCATTCTCTCAGATAAGAGTCTCAACGTTAACGTTTCAAAGAATTCAGACGCCATCTCTGACGAGTCTGATCCATCTGTCTAAGAGGAGCTCAGCCACTGTAATACTCTCCAGAGTCTCCAGTACTAGCAGTAGAACAAGACGCTGAACAGTCAGTTTGTGTTCCTCAATCTTTTGCTTGCTTTAGACGACGCTTGTGGCGTATGTTAAGCAGAGTGCACTGACGTGTGCTGTGTCTCTCTTTCCCCCCGCTGGCCATCAGCCTGCTGCAGCGCGCTCGAAGAGAGTGACACAGGTCATCAGCCTGCTGCAGCGCGCTCGATGACGGACATAGTATAGTATAACCGTAAAATTGGCAAGCTCTGTCTATACGGAGGAAAACGAAATGATCCCTAAAGTGTAGAAAGAGAGCTCATTTTCGACGCCAAACCCGTGGCCAGGTTTACCTTGGCTCGATCGCTCGGCAATTCCACGCCAATCAACCCAAACCTACTACGCTGAAAGAGTACCCGGGGCAACACGTCGTGTTGTGCTAAAAATAGCACTCAACGGACAACACACTCAGTAGACAGCATAATCGTCTCGCCGCCCAAAGAGCCACGTGGCAACCATATAGCGTACCTTATCCATCTGACGTGTGAGATGATTGGTCCGTCACGAATCCGCATCCACGCGCCAAATCCCCTCCAAGAACCCACGGTCACGTTTTGCCCGCTAATGTCTGGATCATCCATCCCTTGATTCCCTTCCTCCTATCCTCCCCCCTCCTCCCTCCCCCCTCCCCCCCCGCTCTCTCCTCTCTTCCTCCACATCCATCCATGCAAGTCTCGATCCGGCGACAGCTGGTACCACCATCTCGCGGGATTCGCGCCTACCAACCTCGGACACCCTCCCCGCCCTCGTCTCCCCCCCCGCTCCCCCCCCCCCCCCCCCCCCCCCCCCCCCCCCCCCCCCCCCCCCCCCCCCCCCCCCCCCCCCCCCCCCCCCCCCCCCCCCCCCCCCCCCCCCCCCCCCCCCCTCTCCCCCGCTTCCCTTTTTTTTCCAGCAACTCCTCCTGCTCGGTCTTGCCCAGCTTAATTACGCGGGCATCTAAATCCCACACTAAGCGTCTTATCGAAGACAACCACAGTGAACCACTCCATCCATCCGTCGATCAACTTGAAGATATCGTCTCGATGTGGCAAAGAACGGCCATCGACCTCACGGAAGACAGATGGCGGGCAAAGAGAACAACGGCCATCGATCTCGTGGAGGATGGACGGCGATGATGATCTCCATGTCAAGCTGGGAATAACAGCCGTCGATCTCTGGGAGGATAGCTTTGCCGATTGCATTTTTCAGAAAGAAAAAAAAGGGACCTGACGAAAAAAACTCTTTGCCGCTGTTTTTGTCGATCACGCCTGTTCCCGCATTGCCCAAAAACAAATTACGCGCTCACTACCGTCTTCACCCGAATAAAAAAAAGAACGCAGCAACGATGGCCGGCGCGGCTGGGGTAGACGAAGAAAATTCGACTAAGCCAGACTCCAAACCAGCCCTCGAAAGAGGAGAAACTCATCGCAGTTGTGACTATTACCCCGCCAATCAAGCTTGTGGGCCAGGCTCCAGGCATCACAATCACATCCTATAGATAGAGCTTCTTTCTACCTAGGAGTACATTCTTATACTCTATACACATCATATACATGCATATATATTGTGACAAAATTTCAGATAGAGAGAGAGAGAGTCAAACAAAGCTCCTAGGTAAACCGTAGGCAGAGAGGGAGGGAGAAGGAGAAGAGGACAACAAACGAGGGAGGGGCTGTGACAAACTGTTTCGTCGGAGTTTCACCGACTCTGACGACTCATCAGGAGGCTGAACCCTCCATATAGTATATAGTATTAAAAAAATAAACGACTTTTTTCGGTGTTAGCGAGCCTACGACCAAACTCTTTCGGTGTGGCATCTGCATAACACGACCAAACACAATTACGCTTCTTGTCCAAGCGGAGGGGACGGCAAGTCGATCTTTCCCAAGGCGACAGACAAGCAAACTGTCGTCGGTCGTCTTCTTGCGAGAAATCGAAGGGTACCCCTCCGCCCCCCTCCACACCACCACCATCACCACGACCTGCTCCAGTTTCTTTACCTTCCTTTTGCACTCAGCAGTACCTCTTTTAGACTCACTGAAACTTAGCAGCAAGCGCGACAGCAAACTCTACCTCCCACAATCCGCTCGCTTCGTTCTCGTAAAATGATCTCATCTATAATTTCCGGTTAACCCGTTCCTCCCCACACTTCTTCTCCCCCCCGTTCCTCATCGTCAATCACTTCAGGTGACATCTATTTGCGCCATCACCCCTTGACGCCCTTCTTGTTCTCCATTCTCTCCTTGAATCGATCGTCTGTCTACACAGACCAGTCCCAACCACAATGAACGACCGCGATCGCGACCACAATGTATGATACTATTCGAGTGCATTTTCCCCTCCCTGCCCCTTTCCATAGTATGCGCGAGTTTTTCCCTTTGTCGTTGCCGATGATGCTCTCTGGAAGTCGTCTCTCTTCTTCCCGCAGTGACCGGGCGCTATAATCTCCCCTCCCTCTGCTTCGTCACTCCAGCACGCCGCACAAGCAAGCAAGCAAGCAAGCAAGCAAGCACGCCCTCTGTCCCCCAGCACAGAATCTCCACACATAACAAGTACCTCACCTGGGTAGTACTCCTCGTCATATGCAGGTAGGCAGTATTACGACCTCTCTACAAAGGGTGTGCTCACGGTGATTCCCAGAGCAAGCGCAATCATCATGACGAAATGCAGAGGGGATAGGTAAAACCAGATAGCTGCCGAGCTTCACAAATGCGCATCCCGCCTTTGGTTTCAAGTGATGAAGTCGACGGCTCGATTCCAACGCACGCAAGCTGCAGAGAGTTGGCGAAGAAAAGCGGAGGGCAAAAAGACGATCGGCCGTAGAGAAGAGGGGGGAACGACCAGGATGAGCGCCTTACACACGTTCAATCTCACACTACGACTTTAACAAATCCATTCTGAGCGCCATTTCAGCCAGTCGTAGATGAACGTGATCGCGACCGTGAGAGCCTAGAAAGCAGTCGAGAAAGGCCCTCCCTACCGGTAGTCCCGCGTACTCTGCACCCTTACTTGGTCGTCGCCATGACTAATCAGATGCCCCCTCCCTCCCCAGCAACGTATTACTTACGCACGTCTGACACCCTGAGATCGTAGCAAGAGCAACTTCTTAGATCGTCGCAAATGCAACACTTCGTCGTCGTCGTCATCGTCGTCATCGTCGTCGTCATCGTCGTCGTCGACACTCCCTTGTCCTTGTCTTGTCCCAGCTCTGTTTTCTTCTGTCGTCTTCTCCCCCGTGAAACCAGGGATGGGTCTCGCTCTCGCCTACTGTGCTCACACATTATCACTTCAGTTGGTTTTACCTGGCGACCTGACCTGTTGCTCTTCCCCCCGATCTTGTCTATTTTTGTAAAGGCGCAGGACCAGTCTTACCTATCTTGTCGTAATCAGAATTGGGATGGCCAAAACAGTCAGTACCCGCTGCATTCGCGGCCAAAGCTCGTCTCCTCCTTGGCATTCTGCGCCTCGCTGTCTGGATGACCGTCTTCTACAGGCGCGCATTTGGCATCCTCTACCTCGATAGAATTCAGCCCCTGCCTCTCCCTCAACCTTCTTCATCACTTCGGGAAACTTCGCCGATCACTCCGCTTACGTCCTCTTCCTGTAAGCGCAACTCGGGGCGCGATAACCTTCACCACAGAGCGCAACGTCAGCTACTGCAGCCCAACCTCCTAACGCCGGACATGTGTGCGTCTCTCCCAATCTCTTCGCTCTACTTCAAAATCTCTTCATCACACACACACACACACACACACACACACACACACACACACACACACACACACACACACACACACACAGAGACAGACAGAAGAGAAGACGGGGGGAAAGAGAAAACCGAATCCGTGACACACTTCTCTCTAGAGCTGGCAGTCCGTCCGGAGAGAGTGTGAAGCGGCCCTCCACCCTCTCCCCGCCCGGCTGTGAGAGAGAGAGAGAGAGAGAGAGAGAGAGAGAGAGAGAGAGAGAGAGAGAGAGAGAGAGAGAGAGAGCTAGAAAAGCGAATTGAATACAACAATGGTCATTTGAATACCCAGAAGCATCAAGATAAAGGTAATTAACATGGTTGAGTTCATCAGTGACGTCATTCCTAATTCTTGAGAACCTAAGAAAGATATAAGGAGATCAGAAACGACTCTAGCGGAAGTTCCCGCCTGCGTGGAGAGTAGACCGCAATTAAACGTTCCTCTGGATAGTTTGTCGGACATAACCTTGGACATGAGTGACAAGTTCACCCCTTCCAACACCTGACATGACACGAAGATCACCATCGCCGACAGCACGTACTGCACCACGCTGTACTGCAACCCTATAACTTCTAGAGACAGCGCCATTGCAATGCCCACTGCGGTCAGTATCTCGGCCCAGAGCAAAATATACCGATCCTCAAACACGTTGCTGATGTAACTGCCCACGACAAAATTGATAGGCAGCACTGTCAATCCCAGCAGAGACAGGAAGAGAGCGACCTCCTCCATCCCCCATCCGAAGTAATACGCAGTCACAAGGCTAGATTCCGAGAGAAGGATTTCAACAGCAAATTTCAGGACGAAGTATATTAACAGATTTACCAGCACTGGAGTTGTCATTTCAGCCATTGCCTCAAAGAAACCGTCTTTCTCCGCACCTTCCTCCGACTCCATATCTTCACTGTCCGCCTCGCGTACGGACCCTGCTCCTCCTCCTGCTCCTTCTCCTCCATCCATCTCTCTCTTCAAGCTGTCCTCCTTGCGTTCTTCGTCCTCCAGTCCCCCCTCCTTTTCCTCCTCCTCCTCCTCCTCTGCCTTCTCCTTCAACAGCAAAGGTTCTCGGAGCTCGGGGCCTTTCCACATGTGCGAATCGTCGCCATCTGGTCTAGGCAAGACCTCCTGCTGCTTCCCATTAGAAAGACGATGAGGAGGAGGAGGAGGAGGAGGAAGATTACCATATGCTCGTGTTTGGTCAAGTTGAATGACGACTCCACCACCCTGATCGCCATTCTCTAGAACAGATCGGTGATTCCCTGCAACACCACCTCCACCTTCTCGGTTTCCTCCTCCCCCGGCCACAGCTGCTGGCTCTTCTGCTGCTGCTACTGCAGCTCCTTCTGATCTCCAGGCCTGGAGCGGTCCAAAGGAATCGTTTCTGGCCGTGTCTTTCCAGCCGACTCGTCGTTGGAACGAAAAGCCGGGTTCTGCACCCTCTCCAGCCTCCCTCGCTCCCAATGTACCTTCTTTTTCCGTTGACGTCGTGATAAACGTTCTATGGTCATGTTTCATGAAGGGTGGATTGCCCGCCTTCTTCGCCGCCAGCGCCGTCCAGTCTACCACTCCATCGCCTGCTGCAGTCACGACTGTTATCACTTCGTCCTTCCCTCCTGACCGCACCCCCGCTGCGTTCTTCTTCGCCGCCGCCTCTTCTCCTTCTCCTCCTCCTCCTCCTCCTCCTCCTCCTCCTCGGGTACTACTGCCCCTCACCTGCTCCACGCCCGGTCGATGTGGTTCCTTGAAGCCAACCCACAGTACCACGAAGTAGATCAGCCAGCACAGACACATCACCCATCCCGGCGCCGTCACGAAGTTAAACGTCCAACCCCCGATCAACTTCACGTCCATTTGCATGACGCCAGATACTGCAGGCCCCACGGACATCCCTAGCGCACTTGCGCTGACGAACGCCGCCGACGCCGCCGTCCTCCTCTTCCTCGCCACGCAGTCCGCTATGTATCTCCGGTTGATTGCCCTCGCGCCGCCCAGCCCGCACAGCAATCGCCCGAACAGAACGAGCCACACAGAGTCGAAATCGAGAGCGATGGCGTAGAAGAAGTTGCCCGCCACAAGAATGATAGTGCTGAGGACGAGCGGACTGAAATAGGAACGGTTGGACCAGGCGCTGTACCCCACGGCAGAGACGAGAGAAGCCAACGCCATCGACCCGATTATAACACCGCAGAGCGTGGAATCGGCTCCCAGCTGCATCGCGTACTTATCCGCAGTAGGCAGGACAATATAGTAATTGACCATGTACAGAAAGGTATTCAGCAGGTTGAGAAAGAGGGTGAGGAAGTCTTCTTTGATCTCTTCCCGCAGGGCGCCGCCCACCTCCTCCAGGGCCTCCTCCACACGTTCCTCGGGAATCAACGACCCTTCTGCGAGGTACTTCAGAAACCCCGTCGACTGCATCAGCCTTTCTTCTGCCTCCTCGATGGCCCGAATGATTGGCTCGTTCTGTACGAGCTTCGGTGGCCAGGACTGCCTCCCATCGTCGTACAGAGAGATCGACATCGGCGTCAATCTCCGAGCTCGGAGCTCAGCAAGATTCCTCGAGATCGTCGCCACCATCGCGCCGATGCCCACGTGGCGAAACACGTGCAGCAGCTGGGAGTAAGGATGATTAGACCGGGTGTAAATATACCGGTCCATCAACCGATATCCCAGTTGTTTATCGAATTTCTTCAGAATCTTGCGCAGAGCGATGGCATTGAGTTCCACGAATTCCAACAGCTCGAGAAGATGTTGTCCCACTTTCTTGTACTCGCCGACGAGATCGGGAACTCCCTCGAGCGCTTCGTGGAAGTCGACCAGGTCGCGGATCGCGTCCGCAGACTGCGGACGTTCCATGGCCGAGGCAGAAGTCGATCCCGCTGCTGCCGGGGTCTCTGGTCGCGGTGAAGGGGTCCCTGGTCGCGGTGAAGGGGTCCCTGGTCGCAGTGAAGGGGTCCGTGGTCGCAGTGAAGGGGTCCCGGGTCGCGGTGAAGGGGTCCCTGGTCGCGGGGAAGGGGTCCCTGGTCGCTGGGAAGATCCTACAGCAACAGCAGCAGCAGCAGCAGCAGCATCGCCCGCGGACGACGTGCCGGCTGCTGCTGCAGAAGAATTGCCGCCTCCGCTCCAACTCCGCCTGCCAATCGACATGATCCCCTCCCTCTGCTCCCGCAACTCAATCAACCTGGAAGCCAGCTGGCCTTCCCGTGCGAGAAGGAAGAGGACGATCTTCTCCACCTGGTAGTCCAGAATCTCGGAGAATTCCTTCAACATATCGTCTCTGCTTTCCTCAGAAGTCGTCGGCGACAGTTGCACGTACATCTTGATCCTCTTCTTCATTTGTTTGTACCCCAGGTAATAATTTTCCCATTTCGGAAGCCGCTTCTCCCTCAAAAGACGTCCGAAGTGAACCATTCTCTCTCTCTCTCTCTCTCTCTCGCACACACACACACACACACACACACACACACACACACACACACACAGAGTCAAACAGAAAAGCACAGATAGACACGGAAACGCAAACACCGGCGCGCCTATCTATCGCAATTGCATGTGACTGCCCTGTTTGGGGGGTGTTCAGTGAAACGCGTCGTCGTCTCAAATGTATCCAGGTACTGATTAAGAAGCAAGCAGACTTCCCTAGATGAACCCGCCCTCTGTGGAAAGCTGAAAACCCATCTGCAAGTGTGTGCGTGGTTGCGTGGGTGTGTTCGCCTCTCCGTGCGGATCACCGATTTTCCTGATTGCAGTGGTTATAAGGAGTTCGCCAGTAGCAGCGAAGAGAGCAGATCTCTAGAAAGACACACTAGATTACAATAGGCGGGGAAACTACGATCGTATCTATGAGTAACTAAATCTGATTCAACTAGAAAGGAGGCTGCACCTCCCTGCTGCTCCTGCTGCTAAGTCTGCGCTCACACTTTCACTGGCCAGCGGCACACAGCCGCCGCTACATCCATCCACCACGAAATACAATTGTACATATAATCACAACCATGTCTCTTTACCGATGATGGTTGTGCGGCCCTCATTGAAGCGCCCTCCCTTCTACTCCTGCGCCTCCATGCTACGTGAAGCCGACTATCTGTCTCGGCACTTGAGCAGGCTCAACGTTGCACCCCCCTGCGCTGCTCAACTGCAGAAACTATCTCTCTCCCTTTCGATTGTTCAGGAAGGGTTTCGCATCTCCATCGCCGTTGTCGATGACTCACGCCATGTGCTTCTCGCCCGGATACTGCACATCAGGGCAACTCCCTCGATAATACCGAGAGAGAGAGAGAGAGAGAGAGAGAGAATAGTGTTACGAAGAGTAAGGGAGCGAGGGGCAGAGACTTAAGGAGCCGGTGGAGAGTGAGATCAGGGGAGGTGGGGACACTTGGCGCGCTCAGTGTCAAGGACAAGAAAGGCAAGAGAAGGGGGGCTGTCAGGTCTACAGTAGATTCTGCAGAAGAGCGCGACAGCACTCGATCGAGAATAGCTCCTCTGGGAGCCTGAGAAAACGGCAAATGATGCGAGAGAGGAAGCTTCTGATGGCAAATGCACATGGAACACGAGCCAAGAGTGCAGATTCTCTTCTGCTGATTGGCTGTAGCAAACAGCACGCCAGGCCTGACGTTAAAGGTTTATTACTTATTCCGCATATCATATTTTCAAATCAATTACCTCCGTATGACGATTTATGAAGAATGACAGCAGCTAAAGCTGATGACCTATGCATCCGCATTCACATTAGGCGGCGCCTACTAACCCCAAAGCATTTATTGCGCACTCCTTTGCTCCCCGCCCCGCCCCCCTTCCCTCCTATTCTCACCCAAGAATTGCCTCCTACTGTATTACCTACAAGTCCAGAATCGCTAATATGAACTATGGATCAGTCCTGCTGCTGCTGCTGCTATCCTACTCCTGACACTAATGAATCACAATGAATCAGAAACTGACAGTAAATATGAGACAAATGGAAATCCCAATGAATTAACGAGTCACACTATCTACAATCGTACCAGCTGCTGATGGCTTTTCCGAGACTGCGAAAGGTCAAGGGTACTGCTATACGGGCCGTGCTTGAACCGGTATAAGATACAGAAAGAGCACGAGAGAGAGAGAGAGAGAGAGAGAGAGAGAGAGAGAGAGAGAGAGAGAGAGAGAGAGAGAGAGAGAGAGAGAGAGAGAGAGAGAATACTACTTTACTGTGGAGTTGCAAATGAATTTGAAAATAAGATGAAAGTAAGATCCAAAAAAACGGCTGCACCCCCGAGATTCTTATGTTATGATGAATGAAGATTCGCATTGAAGAATGGGACCACCACTCGTCATCATCGAGGGATAGTCGGTAAAACCTAAACGATACTGCATGTTCTCTAAGTGGGCGCCTGAGACTCTCTGAGAGTGAGCATACGCTACACGTACCCCTAAGGTCCTACCTTGTCCTCACTACCACTGCAGTTGTATTGATAAAAAAAAAACAATCACCGGGGGCAACTAAAAAAAACACAAATTTAAAAGAAAAAACAAGCTTTGTATCGGGGCACTAGATGTGATCTGTTTATGTATCTGAGTTCAACCCAATTCAATCACAGCTAACTTCACACACATATTCATAATTTTTACACATGCACACACACACAGTCAACTACTTCATGAAGTTCATGCGCATGTTCAGATTCTTCAGAAAGCCCCGGAGAGCGGAAACGCCAAAACAAGCGTGAGTCTCAGAGCAAGAGATGTATTTGAGATCATTTTCTCCCTCCTATTTTTCCTCCTCGCTCCAACTCCAACTCGCCTGAGCTTTTCACAACACAAACTTTCACCGATGTATCCAGGAATGAATTAAGCTCCCTCCTCGCCGTCTCTCCCTAGAACGATGCGCCTGTCCGGTTCCTCGATGCTGCCATTGTCCAATTTCTCCCTGCTGCGGAGGGGCCGAGCAGCCCTTTGACTCCAGGAGAACAAACAGGCCCCGCAACAAGTCATACCTACATGAACTGAGCGGCATGGAGCGACAGAAAGCTGTGTGCCCAACCTGTTTGTGCGACCGCAGGATGAACAAGCTGCACACCTCTGAAGGCGGCGGGCTGCCACACACCTGCCTGCCGAACACGACCCCCCTCACGATCTCTCTTCGATCGCGTGCATGGAGCGACAAACAGCTGTGTGCGCAACCGCGGCAGCATTAACACCAACCTGTTTGTGCGACCGCAGGATRAACAAGCTGCACACCTCTGCCGGCGGCGGGCTGCCACACACCTGCCTGCCAAACACGACCCCCCTTWYKMTCTCTCTTCGATCGCGTGCATGGAGHGACAAACAGCTGTGTGCGCAACCGCGGCAGCATTAACACCAACCTGTTTGTGCGACCGCAGGATAAACAAGCTGCACACCTCTGCCGGCGGCGGGCTGCCACACACCTGCCTGCCGAACACGTGCTCTGCTCAGCTGACTCGTCGATCTCGTGCACTAAGGTAGGCAGCCTTAGGGAGGTGTACTGCTCTGCTCAGCTGACTCGTCGGGGCCGACCGATGGGATCTATCCCGCAGGACCTTCTGTACCGTTCCGTCACGTCCCCGCTCGTGGAGGCCGATTCACTTGCAAGCAAGTTGATTGATGCCACGAATACTTCCGGCTAACGCTATTGGTAAGGCCAGGCACGAGGATGAGGGCGTCCTCACACTGAGACCGGACGTGGGGAATCTAGCCACGGTTGATTGTCAATTGATCTGAACAGAACACCCTAGAGCGTCAGTGGAATGGACTACTGAAAGAATGAACGAGGACGTGCAGGAGAAAAGGAGCACGGCAAGGCTAAGGGAGAAATGAAATTTGAGTCGGCAGCAGAGTGGCACAAACAATATCCAGCAAGCAAAAGTGTGTGTGTGTGTGTGTGTGTGTGTGTGTGTGTGTGTGTGTGTGCACGTTGTCATTTCCGTGTGTGTGTGTGCACGTTGTCATTTCCGTGTGTGTGTGTGTGTGTTGTAATGTCCGCTATAGAGAACATAAAAGAAGCATGACTGGGCCACACTGCGCACACACAACTCCGCAAAAAAACATGAACGACAGCGTGTCGTCATGTTCGGGATAACGTGCGTATGTGTGTGTCTGAGCCGTGCTTTCGCTAAAAATACCTCCCACTGTGTACGTGTTTGTGGCCGGGGGGGAGAGAGAGAGAGAGAGAGAGAGAGAGAGAGAGAGAGAGAGAGAGAAGAGGGGGCAGGGATCGAGGACAGAGAGACCCAGAACGGAGCAGACAGTCCTACGGTCCTCCTCCCCAACAATTTTGCCCCGTTGATCTATCGTACCAGCTGAACACAGCCGGCAGCACAATAAATTGTTGCGCTATCGACATCTCAAGTGAATTGTTTGTGGTGTGGGCAGCTTCTCCCTCCTCGTCAGAGCCACAGGAGGAGGGATAAGAGCGCCAATCAAGTTGAATCAACCACAGAGATTTGAACATTAGCGTCAGCGCACTCCCCTCGACCAGACGTCAGTTCGTCAGTCAGTCACGGGGTTTACATGGCAGCCAATTATATCTGTTCAGGGGTTGGGAATCTGGGATGGAAAGGGATGGAAAGGGAAGGGAAGTACATTTTTTCTCACCCCAGCAGAGTGCGATCGCTCGCGCCTATCCCCGTCGCTCATCCAATGCACCGCGCACGGCCGTTGCCTGCCCATCTGATCAGCCAGGAGACGGCGCCACAGAAACCAAAGCAAACCCCCATTTCGGCGCCCAGCTGCAGGCAAGCTGTCGGCCATCTGCAGGCTCGTCAATGTCAGATGAGTTCGATGGTCATAGTTCGTCGGCCCGCCCGGCCTCGAAGAGGCGTGTAGCCGCGCTACCCCACTCCCCGCGCATTCCGTTCCGGCTGCGCACACCTGCTCTGCTCGTCTTCCCTGCCTGCGACAAAGGGCCTCCCTGCACTGCACTACACGGCACTCTGACATGCATTTCGACGCTTCACGACCCTGCACATACAAAATGTGGGACCAACTCGGCCGAACGCAGCCGGTCGAGAAAGCGGCCAGATGCATGTAGAGTGCTGTGTAGTGCAGCAATGCGTAAAATCACAGGTTCCGTCAGATTCTACACCCCCACAACTCCCGCTGCCGGCGCCCCTGCCCCGCACATGGTCTCCCTTCCATGCCCCACACAACAACCCCGCCGACATCAAATTTGGCTCAGAACACTTCGGGCCCGTCGTTTCGGAACCCTCCACATCAGTCCGAACTCCCGCAGCTCCCGCCGCCGGCCGCTCAACTGAACTGAACACAGCCCTGGTTCATGTCCCGCGGCTCCCGCCGCCGGCCGCTCAGCTGAACACTGCCCTTACGAAGTACGATCATCTCAATCCGATCGTCTGATGTAATCACGGCTACAGATAGCTACAGATATCGGCCAAAGTGCCCAGCGAGCATACTTCGCTCTTTCGAGGAGGGCGGTCCATGTTCGCGCTCGCACGAAAAGCGACGATACCTGAGCCACGGACGATGCTACCGAGGCCAGGCAACGCGAAGCGGCGCGGTGGTACTCGAAATGATGTATGTGGGGACTCGCTCCACAACTCTCGATATATAATATTGTGCAAAACGAGTGAGAGTCGTTAATTTTTGTATTTTGTGATTAGGGCGCACTCGAAACTCAGTAGAAACTCAATAGAAACTGAGCAGAATAAAAAATAGAAAAAAAAAAAAAAACTGAAACTGAGTAGAAACTCAGCAATTTTTTAGTAGAAACTCAGCAATTTTTGTATTTTGTGCAGGTCGAGAGTACCGGAGCGAGGCCCATGACGACAGCCACCGTGCTACCCGCGCCACGGCCACGCCGCGGTTGCTCGGGCGGCACCGCTGTCTGCGGGCAACGCCCCGCGCATATGAGCACGAAGGCAGCGCTGCAATCGCAGCTGGCGATTATTTTGTTTTTGTTTTTTTTCTGGAAAAAGGATTGAGGATGGGAACCTCACAGTTTGAGCCGATTCAATCTAGCGGCTTAGCTCAGTGGGCAAGGCGCACAAGTGGCATTCAGGAGGTCTTGGGTTCAATCCCCATTGGCCTCATGTACCTTCC